CAACTTTTCCTTTACAAAAATTTTCTCCGAGGCATCGTTAACGAGTTATTAACGAAAAACAGTGACCAATAAGAGGCGAGCTCGGCTGGCGCGAGGCGATCGAGCCAATGAGCGGAACTGGGCTTCGCGCGCTGGTTGGCTGGGCCGTCTCGCGTCAGCCGTACTCGATTCTTATTGGTCACTGTTTTTCGTTAATAACTCGTTAACGATGCCTCGGAGAAAATTTTTGTAAAGGAAAAAGTTGCTTCGAATGGCCCGAGGAACCCGCCACTTTCGGATTGCGAGACATTTTTGGGACACCCTGTATACTGTCTCTTATACACATCTAGATGTGTATAAGAGACAGTATACAGGGTGTCCCAAAAATGTCTCGCAATCCGAAAGTGGCGGGTTCCTCGGGCCATTCGAAGCAACTTTTCCTTTACAAAAATTTTCTCCGAGGCATCGTTAACGAGTTATTAACGAAAAACAGTGACCAATAAGAGGCGAGCTCGGCTGGCGCGAGGCGATCGAGCCAATGAGCGGAACTGGGCTTCGCGCGCTGGTTGGCTGGGCCGTCTCGCGTCAGCCGTACTCGATTCTTATTGGTCACTGTTTTTCGTTAATAACTCGTTAACGATGCCTCGGAGAAAATTTTTGTAAAGGAAAAAGTTGCTTCGAATGGCCCGAGGAACCCGCCACTTTCGGATTGCGAGACATTTTTGGGACACCCTGTAGACTGTTGTAAATCAATGCGAAGACAAAAGAAGTGTGAAACAATGCATATGAAGACGATTATTTGGTTCAAACGATGAGCGAGTGAGCTACCAGAGCATGCCACTATAAATAAACTGTGGAAATCGGAGTAAATTCCGTCGGCGATGTACGAAAAATTCTGTTAACGAAGAAAGTCAAACTCGTACAAAATATGTGTCTCATTAATCATAAAGGTCCGCTGTCTATTTGTGAACGAGGGGCTAAAGTGCGTTCTTTCATAGAGAACACTCGATGTCGCTGATGCGGATTTCAGCATCGTTAATCTTCGTTCGGTAGTTGTTAGTTTGAAATTTTGGAAATTGAACGTGTACGATGAGTAGCTTCTGTGAAAGGGTTCTAATGTTCACTGAAATCGATAATCGAACGATTTGGTTACAGCTTGTTCAACGATAGTAAATAAGATGTATGACAAGGCACTATGTTTTCAGTTTTATGTACCGAGACACTGGGAACTCTTCTTTTAACCCTTAGAGCTCTATGGACGCATATATGCGTTTGGCGAAAGTCATCCGTGTAGCCTAAGGCCGCATTTATGTGTTTTCTCGAAGTCATCGGCCTGGACTAAGGGCGCATATATGCGTTTGTCGATTTTTTCAATCAATATGCTGTTATTTTCGTGTAAAATTAATACAGGGACACTCGTATCGGTCTATGTATTGATAATTGTTTTGAAATTGTTCACACACAATTAAATGATTAATTCCTGTGTGTGTGTGTGTTGTAAATATCAAATTAAGTTTTTTAGTTGATTGTAAAATTTAATGTTTTAAATTGTTAATGTTTATATTATACATAATTTTAATGCTCAAAAATAACAGTCTTTAATTATTTAACCCTCTGCGAAAGAATCACTATAATTTATTACTGTTTGCGCCTTGAATAGTCACTTCGGTGTGGCAAAAAAGTATTCCGCCCCCAGCGATGGTCAGCGATAGCCGCGCTCCGTCCCTACGAACCGTTTCGGCCAGGAGTATTCAGAGCTCGAAAGGTTAAAAGTGGAACATGAGCCATGCGGTAAAAATATTTTAATTTAAGATAATACAATGACGACATTTTTTTAGAGTACATTCTAACAACGCGTAACCCATCGAAGAAGAAGTTCGTAAAGGGTCAAATGTTGGATATCCAGTACGACGAGTCACTAAACTATCAAGAAGAACGATCTAAGAAAGTCAACCTTCTATTCAAGAAAATCTAAACTAAAAGAAGATTGCTCAACAACTCCGTTGTCGGAGTAAATTCCTCGACCGCTAGGTGTACAAAACAACTTATCACGTTTCGATCGGAGCTCGGCAAACAAAGATTCGAGACCGGCTCCCGAAACAGCATCACAGAGGATCGCGTTCGCATCTCGAAGAAAGCAAACACTCGATTGGTGAAGAGCGCAGGTTCGAGCCGGCTATCATCTCTCCGACGATTTGCATTCGAATTTCCGGCAAAGTGTGGATCATTAGTCGAAGCGTAACAATGCGTGTGGGACGATGCATTTAACATGAATTGCGATGTACCGGGTACGGAACTATAGCCTACAAAGTGAGCGAGCGAGTGAATGAATGAATGAGCGAGTGAGAGAGTGTGTGCCAGAGAGAGAGATAGAGAGAGCAAGAGCGGCATTAACATGCTAATGCCTTGTCTCGCGCTACAGTTAACCGTCTCGTCCCGTCTCACTACAGCTAAACGCGCCGGTTGATCCACGGCATTAGTAATTCAAAGCCGAGCCGACACCTATAGGCACAATCATAATAAAACACGCGCACCGGAATAGACGACGACGACGGTCCTCTAACGAATCGGGATCGGATGATCAACGCGCACTCAGAGATCTGTCGGTTCCCCGAAATAGCACGATGAATAATTCAATGTACGACACACGTGGCGAGAGGTCGGGGGGAGTAGTTTCTACGAGGAGTATAAGTGTTTCACGCGTGCACTGTGTGTCCGGCCGGTGCACCACCGACGACGATCGGTGACCAAGAGGAAAGGGGAACAGCGCAACGCGAACATCGTTCCCGTCGTTCTCCCCACTGTCTTTGGCTCCTCGATTCCCGATTCCGGCGACGCACCGATGATCCTGGTTAAACACACGCACAGACGGCCGACGGGAAATCCGAAATCGATGTGCGACGACATCGGTCAGCGGCTTAGCCTGGGCGTAGTCGTAGCGGAACGTCGACGTTCTCTGTGCCGTCGACAAATTCGGTGTCGCATTCTCGGAAAGTCACCGGGTGTCGGGGATAGAAGGCGCTAGCGGGACCCGGGGAAGGGGAGCTTTTAAGGTGGAGTCGAGGTGGGCCGGAGAGGGTGGAGATCAACGACAAAGACGAAGACCAGAAGGAGGAAGGAGGACCAGAAACGGCGACGGAGACGGAGACGGAGACGTAGGAGTGGGTGGAGGAAGAGGAGGTGGGCGAAAGTGCCACGACGTTGCACACACTGGAACGACACTCGCGTATATCGGCGACCCATACACCGGCGCGTCGGCTTACAAAGCATATACGCATATAGCAGCGGCCTCTTGAAATCGAGCTGGCAATCGGGCAGGCGGGGGGTGGGACCCGGGGGCTGGGGGACTGTGCGCGCGCGAGGAGGCACCGAGAGAGCGGAGGAGCGAGTTGCGCGCGGCTCTGTGTGTAGACCGCGGTGTTAACAAACGGTACACTAATGTTTCACATCTCGGTGTGCCTCCGCCGTATGTTCTCGTCCCGTTCCATCGCGGCGAAGCGAGGGCTCCTCGTCCCGCAAACGCGCTCGGCTCCTCTAGGCCAGCGTCGCCCTCCGTGGCGAGCAAGAGCGCGAAGCAGTAGCTCAACGTGCCGCGCACACTGCGGGGTGACGAGAAAGGAAGGCAGCGGCAGAGCGGCACGAACCCCAGGCCTTGGTGGTAGTGCGAGACTCGTCGCCGGGAGCGAGGCGAGGCGAGGCGAGGCGTCGCGACAGGAGGGGGCTGCGGAAAGGTGGCAGGGGCGGGGCAAGATTAGTCCGCGCCCACGGAGGGGAAAAAAGCCGAGCTCCGCACCCACCGCGGAACGCTAGAGGGGGCACGAAAGAAGTGTGGAAGGGGACGATTTATCCTGCTCCGCGGGCTGTCTCTCTTTCTCCATCTCTCTCATTCTCTCTCTCTCTCTCTCTCTCTCTCTCTCTCTCTGTCTCTCCTTCGGGCCGACCCTCCCTCTCTCTCTCTGTTCGGTGTCTATCTACGAAGTGGCGCACACCGCTGTACACGCTGGCGAGCGTCTAACGAGCCGAGGGGTAAACGGGCGATCGCGCGAGTCTCACCGCGAAACGGCAAAAATATCGTTGCCGGTAGAGGGTGGTAGGTGCACGTATACCCGCGCCGGCCGGCGAAAAATGTCGGCGCGCCTTTTTATCCAACCCCCCAGACCTCTTTGTCCCCTTTCGCACGACCCCCACCAGTCCCGACGAGCAGTCCTCCCCCGCGAACAGCAGGCGCTCGCGATCCACAACCAACAGCCGCCCCTACCCGCCCCTTTGATCGGCTCTCGCGCCGGGAGGGCGACAAGTAAGCGCGAGGAGGCGAGTTCCCTTGAAAGAACTGCGCAAAACACACTTTCGCGTCGCCACGGCCCCGAAAGTCGTCTCCCGTTGCCACCGCCGTCGTCGTCGTCGTCGTCGTTGTCGTCGTCGCCGTCGACCGGCAACCGTTGTCAGCTTGTATATTGTTAGTGATCGCCGGCACGTCGCCGCAATCGCGCGCCACACAGCTCGATCTCGACGATACTTCTCGTTTTTCTTTTTTTGTTCCCGCTTTTGTCGAAAGCCGACCAGAATATTTCGAAGCTCGGCGAACAAAGAGGTGAGGTGTTCGTCACCCAGGACTTCACGTGCGACCGATGACAATCGCGGCGCGTGATGGAACGGCCACGCGTCATCCACGCATTAAATTTCCGGTACGCGTTCGTCCCGCGTAAACGTGCGCGTGTAATACGTTCGTCGGACGGCGATCGTGCGAGCATCGGAGCGAGAAAGACGTTGTTGCTCTGGTGAATCGGAGCGAGACCAGGTAGAGGGAAAGAGCGCGCGGGAGAAAGAGAGAGAGAGAAAGAGATTGTGTAGTCAAGTGTCGCGTTGTGTGTGGAGCAAGGAGGTGGATCTTGGGAGGTGGGGGTACGAAGTAGTTGACGATCTTCGCTGGCGAAGTAGTATTAGTAGTAGTAGTAGGAGGAGGAGGAGGAGGAGGAGGAGGAGGAGGTGGAGGTGGAGAAGAGAGAGAAAGAGAAAGAAAGAGAGTAGTGGGAAATGGTCGGTGGTGGGGCGACGTCAGAGTGTGTGCGGTCGTGTCGAAGAAAGAGGTGGAGAAGCGAACAGGGGCGGTAGAGAGAGGGCAAGCGAACAAACTACCGGGAAGAAGTCAGCGGCAAGTAAAGCAGCGCCGCCGAGGCTAAACTTCGGGATCTATCGAACTAAAATTGTCGTGTAGTTTCTGCCTCCTCTTCTGGCCCCCTCCCGACACGGTCGGCCCTCTCGCTCTCTCCCTTGACCCCACCAGAGCGAATGCACACGGTGGCAACGGCAGCATCTCGGTCGGTTGCGCCCCCTCTGGCTCTGCGAGCGAGCACCCATCCCCTCCACCAAAACGAAAGCCGAACGAAGAGGGAAGAAAGCATCGACGGTGGGGCGTCACGAGGTACGCGGCCCGTCGGATGAACGAGGAGAGGCGGATCGGCCGGGCTGTGGGCGGGAGCGAGACGGCGAAACGGAAAGAGGCGAAAAGGAGGGAAAGAGACGGAACTCGAATGCGAGAGGGGATAGGCAGGGAGCGCGTTAGCTGGCCCCACGGGCGACTCACCATATTTTATTGTCGCGTTTGCCGACGCTAACCGCCGGCGTACGGCTCCGTGTGCCCGATCTACGGAGATGCCGGCGACCTGACTCTCTCCGGCGCGACCCTACGGAGAAGAAACGCAGCCAGCCCTACGAGACAACAGCCTTAAACAGAGGATACAGTCTACGGACCGCCGCTGGCTGGTGTCTCCGTTTTCGCCGCGCGGCCTACCAGCACACTCGGCACACACCGGAGTCATCCGACGATAGCGCGCGGTTACGACGAATTCGCGTGGGCTAGAGGTGCCGCCGTGCCGGCCGTGGCATCATCGGCCACCAGCAGAGGTGGCACCAGCACCCCCACCACAGCGCGCGGCGTGCCGGCCTGGACCCTCCCACCCGTCTCGCCGAGGGCAAACCATCTCGCAAAAATCGTCCCCCTTTCCATGGAAGGAAAAGAACTACGGCGACGACTCTGCCACCACCACCACCACCACCGTCGAGCCGACCGTTTCTCGTCACTACCACCACCACCATCGGCACACTACCATCGTTATCGCCAGCGCCACCGTCACTGTACCGCTGCCGTGCCTCCTCCTACACCGCGATCAACCGTCATCTCGCGGAACGAGGATACCAGAACTTACGGACTCGGATCTGGTCGTTCGGTCCTTACGACGAGGCCGCGACCCGCAGCCCTGAACGGGATATCGGTGCCGGTCGTCCTGCGTCCGATCGTGTTGTTCGGTGGTCGATCGTCGGATTCGGTAGCCAGTGAGACGCTATTGTAAATAAAGAGTAGGAACAGTGCGCGAGTGGATCGGTATCGCCGGATTATTAAACCTACACCTTTTCGGACCGATCGCCCCTCCCACTCGCTTCTCGTTACCAGCCTCTTCTTCCACTACCGCGAACAATCAAATCGTCCGGTCACGCGTGTTCGCGTTGCACGCTTCCCTCTCTCTCTCTCTTTCTCTCTCTCTCTCTCTTTCTCTTGAGTGAGACGCGTACGCCGCTCTCGTATACATGTGGACGCACACGTTCGACGATCGCGAAGAGGACAGAAGCGAGCGGGCGTTATGCGCGCAACATCCGCGCCAGTTTCACGGCTGCTCGTTTAAAGAGTGCGCACCGCCGTACGAAGGGGCGGGACGATCCAGCTCCCCGTCGCTCTAGGAGCCAGCTGGATCCCTCAATTTTCAATTGCCCGGAGAAAGAAGACACGAGACTGGCAGGATACACTGGGTCGTGATCGCTCAAGGTGCGAACAGCGATTCACAGTGCGTGGAAGAAGAAGAAGAAGAAGAACAGGAGGAGGAAGAAGAAGAAGAAGAAGAAGCAGCAGCAGCAGCAGCTGAGGAGGAGGAGAAAGGAGGGAAGACGTAGCCGCCGTACAAGCTTTGGGAGGAAAAAAGAAAGCGTCGTGCGCGCGAGAACAAGTCGATCCTCGGCTTTCCTTTTTCACGAGTCGTCTCTCCGTCACCATCGCTCGAGTTCTCGACCTACCACTCTCTCCCTCTCTATCTCTCGTTACCCGGCTGACTGTCCGTCCCTACGGCGCTTCCTCTCTCGCTCGCTCCTCCCTCTATCCCGACCCGAGGTCTCTCTCTCTCTCTCTCTCTCCCCTCTTTCTTTCTCTCTTTCTCCGTCGCGCCTCTCCTCGTTGCACTCGCAGCCGTGTATACCTCCGCCTTCCTATCCGCTCGCCGGAGGACTGGATTCCGTCGAAAAGAAACGACGATTCGGAGGATAGTCGCGACCGATCATAGCTGGCGCGTCGATCGGATCAACGCCGGCCGAGTTTCGCGGTCCGACGATTTCACGATCGCGACACCCCCCTTGGTGTCCAAGTGTGTACCCTGTGGTGAAGGGTGGTTTCTTGTTCGTTCGGCTTTTTTTTTGTCATCGTAATCGGTTCGCGCGCCGCAACGGACCTCGTGACCCGACGCACCTGGACAACAACACCGGAAATCGGTTTCGATCGACAAGAGCAGCGGGCTTCGGCGAACTTATCCTGCCGACGTTGACGCGTACGGTTGTCATCGGGGACACGCGTGTGCTGTTTAGTCGTGAGCCAGGCCAGACCGCGGCAGACAGTGTCATCGTCGGCCGACCACGTTGCGGTCGCTGGAAGATCGGAAAACTGGTCCCTCTCTGTGTGCCTTTGTGCCCGCGTCTCTCCCGTCCGTGACAGTGCCACCGGTGTGTACAACCGGAGAAGACCGTCTCCTCGCTTCTCCAGGGTCGGGGCGGCGCGGCACGATCAGAAGGTGCGATAAAACGCGAGTGCGGAAACTATTGTTGATCGTCGGAGGAATCCCGAACCCAGGGACACGTTCGTACGAAACTTGAAAACAGATCTGTCTGTGGGTTTCTTTTCCGTTTTGCTTTTCCGAGCCGTGTGAGTGGAATACAATTTGATCCGAGGAAGCGACAGTGATAGATAATACGTCGAAGTGAGACTTGGTGAGACTAAGACACACGGATGCACGGTAACGATACCATGATCGCGTAGCGGTGCCCGACCATCACGGCCCTGAGTGGCCGACACACAATGTCACAGTTCTCTTTCCGGGGATCGCCAAATCTACAGGTGAGTCCTCCCCGCGATTCTACCTTACACGCCAGCGGATCGCGGGCTGCTGGGCTTTCGCGGGACGGGTTTCGGGGGCGCGGGTCTATCCGTGATGGATGCACTCGCAGCGACATCGATCATGCTCGCCGCGAACGGAATCAATCGGTACACCTATGCTCGGTAGGCCTCGGTAAATAATGGGTAGACGGGGTTTGATTGGTCCTTCATCGAGGATCGATCCTTCGCGCGTTTCAACCCTTTTAGGCACGACGCGCCGCTATTGCGGCTTCCGCGGATGTCTTTATTTTGCAGATGTGCATATTCAATAACCGGTATAATGTCTTCATACTATTAGAAAAGGATATATTAGGGTGTCCCATAAGTCCTTTCCGCGCCGCGCTATTTTAATGAATCCAACTGGCTGTGTTTATATAAACACGCAGACTTACCTCTTGGCTGTTTAGGGTATCGGTTTCAGTAATCCCAGAGCTATTTTAGCTGTCTCTTATACACATCTAGATGTGTATAAGAGACAGCTAAAATAGCTCTGGGATTACTGAAACCGATACCCTAAACAGCCAAGAGGTAAGTCTGCGTGTTTATATAAACACGCAGACTTACCTCTTGGCTGTTTAGGGTATCGGTTTCAGTAATCCCAGAGCTATTTTAGAGTACGTTTCGTTGGTGACAAAGTTCCTTATACAAATTTTTCTACGCCGTTCAATATGGATAGCTAAAAGAAGCATTCGCGGCATGTTATGCTTCATAGCTTTAAAAAAAAAGTGATAGGGCAAAGAACACTGCGAACGAGATTTGTACCGTTTACGGCGATGGTTCTACGACTATTAGGACAGTCCGCGATTGGTTTGAGAGATTTAGAGCTGGCAATTATGATTTGAAAGATGAAGACCGCAGCGGCCGTACAACAACGACGGTTGCGGACCTTATCGAAGATATGCTCGCTGAAAATCCGCGACATAGTGTGCGCGAGATAGCGGATGCCACTAACATACCCGGGACAACGGTACATAAGCATTTAATCAAGATGGGATATGTGAATCGATCCGAAGTTCCACACCGTCAAATTTTCATCACGACAACGCAAAACCGCATGTTGCGTTGGTCGTAAAACAAAAATTATTGCAGTTTGATCGAGACGTTCTACCTCATCCTCCGTGCTCCCCAGACATTGCTCCATCCGATTATTACTTGTTCTTCTCGTGAAAAAATTCTCTCCGTGAGAAACGGTTTAAATTCGCAAGCGAAATAAAAACGCACCTTGATCGATATTTTGCAAATAAGCCTCAACAATCTTGGAAAGACGGCGTAACGAGGCTTCCTGAAAGATGGAAGAAGGTAATAGAGCAGGACGGTTCATATATAACTCGATAAATCAACTTTAAACAACAAATGTCGTGTCATCGTTTCGCATCAGATAAAAGGAAAGAAATTATGGGACCCCCTAATACTATAGCGTGGTTACGATCTTCTTGCAACGATCGTTGTGTACCTACTTTTTCGCATAGAAAACTATGGCAAGTCTGTTTAAAAGACGTCGTATCTCATCGCAGAGTTAACTCTTCGCTTGCCGAAAGCCTATTTCTATGAAACTTTTTTGTTACCACAGTGACCTAACCCAGACCTCGCAATCTATAACATTCTATTGAATTAAGAACGATTTTTAACTTTTTAGGCACGACGCGCCACTATAGTGGCTTCCGCGAATGTCGTCTCTCTGAACGACGCGCCACTATAGTGGCTTTCGCGGATGTCATCTCTCTGAACGACGCGCCACTATAGTGGCTTACTCTAGTAGCTCACTCGGTCATCGTTCGAATCAAATAATCGTCTTCGTATGCATTGTTGCACGCTTCTTTTGTCTTCGCATCGATTTACAATATACACACTTATCTTAACAATATAACTGTATCTTAACAATATACAAACAGAATATACAGACGCTCTGCACAGTACATATCAGACTCTGCCGTCCAGGGAAATAGCCTCGCGCAAAATTCAGCCGTACCTAAAAGGTTAAACGAGAACTTAAACCGCGATTTAAAATCGCTGTGAACATAAAATGTGTGCAAGAATTTCGGTACTTCGATGGTTACAAAGTCTTCTAGCTTCTATGTTTCTGTTGTAAAAATATTGTCAAGTGTCAGATGTCAGTTGTTGAACAGAGTTTCACAGTGTACTCCTCGAGTTATCGGAAATAACAACAACCTTATCTCTGTTTGCTTTAGAATAAAGTAAACCAAAGAACGATAAACAAAGTCCGAATTTTCTGCTACGCGTCGTTAATACCGAATCCCTCTCTGCCGATAATAATGACCGGTAAAATAAAAATCTACGGTTTTCGTTCTAAGCTTATTGAAAGCAATTGTCATTTTTATAAAACAGCAGGCTTTTACTTTTAGAGCTCGGTAGGATTAGAAAATTTTCATTATTCGTTCACTTCCCACGATGAAGCAATCGATAATTAGGAAAAACGCGGCGAAATTCGCCCGACAATAGCCCATATCCCCACCTTAAGGCCCAGTTTCTTCGAGAATCAGGCCCTCGTGATCGGCAACACTTCTTTCCCCCGTAGAAAAACCTCGAAGTGCTTAACTCGGCATCCGTAAAAACTCGAGCTGCGGTCATCCGCGACGTATTTTTGCCGCGTCTAAAAACTCGTGAAATTTTTTTCCGGTTCCGATAAAAAAAACTGTGAATGCCCGAGCGTGTTTACGTGGGCCGTTTTTTGCCGATAGCTCAAGGAGTGCGTTCGTCTCTCGGACGAAGGCAGGGCGAAAATGGCCTGGACACGGCCGCGAAGAAACGGGGCTCTCGCAGTCGACTAGGGCCGCCGGTAAAAAATCCTAGCACACTACGAGAACGTCCGTGAATGAACGCGCGCGCGTATTTCGACCGCGAATGGTCGGGCCTGGAAAGAGACGCCACGGTTAACACGGTCGACCACGCCGATCTATGAATTCCGATATACATAATTCCGGCGGTTTGAAAGTCAAATGCATTCGACGAAAGCCTCGTTGCCTGTTCCCGTCTATGTGCTTCCTATCGTACGCGATCTCGAAGTCTGGCGAGTTTAACCGATCGTTTACCGCCTCTTCACTATTCACCAAGAAACAAGGATTGTTGTCTTGTCTGTCTGTTCTTCGAAGTGGGCTTTCGCCAGCACGGGAACTTCTTCCCGTTGATTTCATTTCGATGAGGTCCGAAAGACGAGACTCGAGTTGTTGGTATTTTCGAGTGTTCATCGAACGTTGGGCCCGATTTTGTTGAGCGTTGCGATGGTTTCGAGTGACAGTTCGATGACAGCTTAGGTCTTTGGTACGATTAGGAACTTGTTGCGCGTAGAAGTTGGAAGAAACGTAATCGAACGAACTGTGGCGCGAATGTTTAGAGAAGCATGACAATGTAAGCTGTGAAAACAAGCAGTTCTTACTCTTAATGCCTCGGGTGAAAAGTTTACATTGTGATCTATAAAATTAGCTCGGTCCGTCGTTTGTTGTGTTAGTCCAGTGAGATCATAGACGAGATATATGGTTCGGAAATTCCGTAGGCCTGTCATAGATCGCGATTTAGCTGGGGTTAATAGGAAATATTTCGTCGAAATCGCTGGCATTCGTTAGTCGGACGTTAATGAATTCCTCCGTAAACGTCTACAAATTACGTTTACTCTAGGCTTTTTATCGCGCGATGGATCACTCGAAAGGTTGAAAGCGTAATCCAAGCCGGCCGGAAGATTTACAGATGGCGCCTTGGCGTAGAACGTGATACCGACGCAACAATCGGGTTCTAAACATCGTAGACCCGCTTCCCGACGAACGTTTATTAGTCGTCCGTCCCAAATTCACGAGTTCAAAGTTGCCCACTAAATTCTCCTAACGGAGCATCGATGAAATCGCGCGAACTATTGCCACGGCCCACGCTAACCGAAACAGTTTCATTACCTGCAATACTACCTACGTTGATACATGGCAAACTGCGAAACGAAGAGTTGCATTTAGGTACGCTGGAGATCCGTGGAACATTCGCTTCTGAAAATATTGGGTTGGCAACTAAGTAGTTGCCGATTTGTTCGATGAAATAAAAAATTTTTTTTTTGCTTGGAACGAAGTTTAATCTGTAATGTATTTTCCATTTTGTTCGACGACCTTTTGCCATCTCTCTGACAACTTGAAAATTCCACGCTCGTAGAAAGTCTGATCCTTCTCGGCCAAAGACTGAGTTAAGTGAGATTTTACAGCGTCATCGTCGTTCAAAGTTTTACCACGAAGGGAGTTGTCCAGGGATCGAAATAAGTGGTAATCCGATGGCGCGAGATCAGGGCTATATGGTGGGTGTAACATC